GGAAATGTTGGTTTAACGTACCCTTTACCAGGGTGGCAGATTATATAGGGAAATATGGGAAAAACCAATGACCGTCTAGTTATGTAAAGGCATGTCTGTGAATTTTCTGTGAAAAGTCAATCTGTGGCCCTGGCAGAGGGTAGGTATAACGTAAGAGAAGTGTTCCAATGTAATGCACAATGGGGGAAATAGAGGCATGAAGAAATATATTACTGGTCTGGGTCCTCATTGGGGTCTTTCCCACTATAGCCCAGTTATACATATAGGCCTATTCTGTGGCTGTAACCGTACCTTGTTCAAATTTGACCTCAACCTATCACCTTAACCGGCAAATCTATTCTTCTCCCAGAAAGAAAGAATAACACAATGAAAACCTCCTTTGTACCACAGAATGTCTTGATTGAGAAGAATGGTCGCCTCTCAGTTCAATAAATTCACCTATTTTCTCCTTTTCGTATTCCGCCCACAGACGGTTTCTGTTTAAATTTGGATCACCTGCAAGACAACAATTGAATAATCATAATATTTCTCGTGTAATTATTACATTCGTTACAGAGTTGCGAGATCTAGATAACACTTGAGCGCAATGGTGCAAGAGAAATACACACGTTACTATAATGGCAGTTCTATATCGGTGGCATAAATGTAAACATTATTGCCATTTTGTGAATCCATTCAATTCCAGTACTGTGGGGTGAATATAAACGCAGTAGAGCATACACAGAGGTTTGGCATACCAGTAATAGAAATATAAGCCCGTATGTACGACACTTGAAATTAAGACGTTTGTATCACGTTTGTAGGATATCTTTCACTCTGTATCAGCGTGTCACGTTTTCCTTGTTTGGCCTTAATTTAAAACCTAAAGTGTTTCCCTGGGTTTGCCCAGCTACATTTACCCGTATACCCTTTACCAAGGCCACAGAAAGAGTATTTTCCTCTACATATTCACAAATATTACCGTAGTTAATTATGCGCAGCGAGAATTTTTGCACAGAATTACACCAATGACGTCATCGCCCACCTGATAGAGAACAAGTACATTGTCCCTCTTCGTGCATAAAGTACCAGGAGAGACTTTAAAGCTAGTCCAAGTATCCTCACAATTGCCTATATACAGTATACTGCACTCAGTACAGAAACAAAAACCCCTTGTAATAAAACGATAATATTCAATTTTACAATTTGAATTTGGATGATACCAGTACATTTATAATACTAAAATTATAACAGTATAAGGGCATCAAATATTTTTTTAAAATCATTTTCAAGAACAAGATAAAATTGAAATTTATCAATGCAGCTCCTAAAATCATAAATTTTCTTTAAAGATGGAATCACCCTGGGAATGAAAGATTTTGAGGATCTCGCAGTTCTAAGGTTTGGCATGTTAAATTTCTGGGAACTTTGTAGATTATAAAATTGTTCACCCTGTTTTGGTAAAATGCGTTTTATAATGTGGTCACAAATGTAGATTTTTGCAGCATTCTTTTATACACCTCAACCCGCCTACACTGTAGTAATACGATAATGCTTGTGGTATCTGTCATTTCTCTTATTTCTATCATTATTGTCATTTCTCGTCATACCTTCATTTAACAACCCAGACACATTGTGCAGGCATCCTGTAGCGCACATTTGGAGTATATTTGATACTCGAAATGACCATTATGATTTGGCCAGACAAAACATTTAACCACCCACCGAAATCCCATTGTGCACTGCTTAATGTGCCGGTCAGGCTCTGCATTATGACATACATAATGTCACGGCTCGTCAAATATTTTGACGTACCCAAAATGTTTTACGTATTACATTCGTATTTATTTTGAATGACCATTGCTGGTCAAAATAGGAATACAAATAATTTTGGGCTCAAGTATAAAAGGAAACGCTTGTCCAAATACGACCGTTGGTTTTATTGTCGTGATATGACCCCTTGACCAGACTATTACAATACATACTCTTCCCGGTGTTTTTAAAACTTGTGTGTTAACAAAATCCGTTGACGGGGTAAGAAAACTTCATTACTAAATCAGCGTATAAGACTGAAATAGACACGGTGAATTTCAGTCAAACTTGGAAATGCTCTAATAAATTTAGCCGCTAACCGGACGGAGGCGCGGTTAATGTAATAACGGGGCGTGGTGTCCAAATTACACCCGATAAACGCCAACAATTGATCTCCTGACCCAACAAGACACGCCGAACAATGTATGGCATTGCCGTTTTTATCTTATCATTTCACTTCATCATAATATGCTTTTAATAGAGAAGGTAGCGTTCTCTGCTGTACTCCTATCCCCAGTGGTACGGCGTTGCCTTGCCCTCGCATTCCTAAGTGTGAGTAATGACTACTTAAATATGTGGCCTCGTGCACCTGTATCTGACGTCACACCCACCCCCTCAGGCACATATTGAATACATGGTTAGTGGTAGACTATATTAAATCATCCTTTTTATACACACTTTTATTTCGAGTAGACGCTCGGATCGTAGTAAACATATTTTAGGTCCAATCTTATGAAAGAGTAAAGTTATACGATTTTCAAGTTTTACATTTTTATTGTCATTATTGGTGATTATGATGCCATTCCATCCATGCTACACTGCAGTATACTTGATATTTGTATACTTTTAAAATGACTAAATAGTGCTACCTTTGAGAAAATGAATTGTTATCAACAACGATTTAAAAAAAANTGGCCTTATCTCAATAACTGAAATTTTGTATCCTGTCTTTTTTTCTTTCTTTTTTCTTTTTTCATTTTATTTTATTTATTTATTTTTATTTGAGGGGGGGGGGGCGTATGGTTTGTAAATTGGAAATTCAAAATGGAAAGATGTGTTTTAGGACTTGGGGTTTTAAAAATGCGTTAAATTATAAAACCTGCCAACATAGATAACATCTGTAAGAGATGAAAAAGAACAAAAGAACGCAAAGTTTACATTTAAAGGACATTTTGTACTTCTACTTTTTAAGAATTAATTAATTGACTGATATCTGTTTTAGTTATTGTTTGTAATATTTTGATGCCTATCTCATATCTTGTAATATACATACGTACGTAGAAAAAGAACTAGTATTTTGATTTTGCATTTAAAAAAACAATGTTTTACAAGAAGAATAGTACTTGCTACATGCGGGTGACAGATGATAACGAAGAATACTTTTGTTGCCTCCTCTTCTTTGCTTAGTTATGATAGTTCGTTACAATGTGTACAGTATGTTGATACATAAACACATTATGTGGTTGCTTGAAACTGATACAGATAAACCAAAAAAATAAATAAATACATGTACATGACACACGTTCACTACGGTATAAATAATATAGAAAAAGAACATCTGTTTCTTTTTCTAGCCAAATTTAAACAAATATAGAGTTAAAATGGCGTGTATATAAACCGGGCTACTTAATGAAAAGCAAATCACGTTTAATTAGAGACATCATCATTACAATAACAATAACAACATGAACGGAATATTTGATTTTATTCCTACTTGCCCAACTTTTAATTATGCAATCTCTTTAAAGAGAACATATATTTAACATAGACAAGGTTGTGAACTGTCCTGTTTAAGCTCGCCAGTAACGTGTCGCTAAAACTTCCTACATGTAGCTCCAACTCGCCCTTGCTCCTATTTCAGGGTCATGGACACAATTATCTGAATTTGTCCTTGTCAGGCGCAGCGGTAATGGCCCATAGAAATCAGTTAACCGGATTTATCCCGAAGCCAAGTTAAAATTTTTATACATACCGGTACAATTGACATAAATACTGGTACCTTAAGTTTACCAAGCCTCAATCATATATACCGCACCTGCGAACCTGCAATGTTCCCCGTTAATACTTCAGTTTTATTTGAGATAAAAGTCAGTTGTGATATATTTTCATCTGATCGATTGTCTTATTGATTAAAGGTTATACGTAAAATCAATTAAATTATTATGTAATTATACTACACGTGCTTTCGATTTGCTGACGTTGTCGAATTCTTTATCTGACAAATATATAGCGAGCTTTTGGTTCTTATCCATCACCCAATGATTCCCCATACAAATACCAGGGTATTTAAATATTTCAGTACTTATCACGCATTTTCTTATTTTCTTTATCTTTAACGGATTTATAAAATGTCCCATTTTTATTTGTCAATCAGCTATTTAATGTTTCTTTATTGGAGGTAATGTCCCTGAGCACTCGTTAGCGTCTCCTTAAATGAAATATCTAAAAGTATTTTTATGGCACCATACTTGGTCAGTTCACAAAATCCAGTCTGCAGCTGTTATCCACGTAAAAGTAATTTCGATGGTGAAATTCACCAATCAACTAAGACTAAATGTTATTTCTGTGGCTGTCTTGCAAAACACGACAACAACTGTCCACAATATTTGACACTTAAGAAAATTAACACTTGCACTCTGTAATAAAGTACTGGGTTTTTACTTATTTGAAGAAACTCTTAAGATTTGTATGACATTTCTTCTTTGATGACTTCTGCCAACCGTTGCATAGCAACATCAATCTGATCAACAGAAATGGTCGAATAGCTAGCCCGCAGATAAGGACTCGGGACGTCACGATTTGGAGTAAATATGCATCCAGGGGCCATAGCAATCTTGTGAGCCAGTGCTTTCTCTTCTATCAGCTTTCTGCTGTCAGGGATTGTCGTCAGCCTTTTTCGAAACAAAAAGTGCATTTAAACAAGAAATCGAAGGTTTCAGATACGGTAATAAATGGTGATCGAAAAAGACTGTTATACCAGATTGGTTTACAACATAAGATGACCCCACAGTAATCTAGTAAATACTTTGCATGCTTTCCACAAATGACCCATTAAAGGGTGTTTTTTTAACCAGTGAATGGAAAATCTGCATTTTAAAACTGCAGTGCTTAAGGATGAATACAATTGCACACTTTTTTAGATGTTGAAGGTAAAGTTAGTTTAATATAAGTTAATTGTACAGGGTAAAATCTATAACCATACACATGTATCACCTTATCCATAAGTACATCCCTCCTTGAGGCTCCACGAACTCCGCCAATCCAGTCAACCACTTCTTTGAAGACGACATCATGGCGTTTTTCTGGCGTTCGTAGAATGCGGAGATCTCCCGCCACCGCTTCTTCGTGCCCTGCTCTCCCCAAGCCTCAAAGATTTTGTGAAGCACCGCTTGAGCGAGGTTGTTGCTGTGTTCCTGCGAGAAACCCACGTGGGATTGAACTTTTGAAACCAGTAGAGCGGGGCCGCTTAGGATGCCGAGACGTAACCCGGCCGTCATACATTTTGAGAAGGAATCGGCTCTCAGCACCCTACCATCTGCATCGATAGAAAGAAAACTTGGCTCCAGACGGCCTCCAAACTGAAGAAAATAGTACGGATCATCTTCAATAATGAGAAGGTTGTACTCTCGGGCAATCTCGTAGATTTCTCGTTTTCTCTCGAGGGGCAATGTGGCGCCAGAAGGGTTACTGCTGGAAGGAATGACGTACATCAGTTTAGGGACGTCAGAATGAGGATTGTCTGCGTCCTCGGGTCTCCATTTTGACATGATGTTTCGCAGCTCGCCGGGAATCATGCCATGGTCGCCTCCTTGAACCCCTAGCGGCTCCGCACCGAGCGTGAGGAGATTATCTATGGCGCTGGAGAACGTCGGAATTTCTACCAGTACCTTGTCGCCCTCTTTGACACACATTTCAAGGACTTTAGTATACGCCTCTGCGGCACCGCTTGTCACCATTATTTTAGTTTTTGATTCATCCGCATTTTCTGTAAAGATAACACTTAGACAAGTGCATGCATGTATCTAAACACAGGTCCTTTTTTCCTTTTATGTGAGAATTTGTGCTTCATTGTGTCTATGTACGCCCAGACGCCATTTGTGGCGTCATTGTGCATTTGGAATTATTTCCCTTTTTGTTACATAGGCTAATAAAATCACCCATTGCTAGAGACTCTCATAAGCCCTATCTCCACGATCTAAGAAAGCAGCATGGGATATATGGCATACGTTGTAACACGCAGACTGGAATGTCATGACTAGTCACACGCAATGTTACAGGAATAACTTAATATTTTTTTGTTATGCAGTTATACACTTACTTGTATTGGGGAAAGGGAATGATACGATCCCCAAGAAAGAATTCTCTCCTGGGATTTGGCTGTAATGACACATTTATCGCGTAATTTTAAGCTAAGATATTAAATACGCCTTACAAACGTCCTGTGAGATTTGTTTCAATAATACCCACCGTAAGGCATAACGTAAACAAGGTGACGTAAGTAACAAAACTCACGATATTCACTCCCTCTCGACCAATCAGATCGGAGGAATTTTGAAGGAAACATATTATTGTGCAGGGAGGCACTATTTTAAAGGGATAATAACTCTTCGCATGAGATCAATATTTCACAATAAAAACATTGTGAACAACTAATAGAGATATAGTACATTCTGTTTTACCACAAAAAATGGCAGTTATAGCTATTATTCTGATATCTGAGCTTGTCTTTAGACCACTTGACCTCCGTTAATGCCTATACTCTATATAAAAAAAAAAAAAACGAACGTTTTAGAAAAAAACAGGGACTAACTTTGAATGTAAAAATGGATTCATTAACCATTGGTAAGTATGGGAAAATTGTTGTTAACCCCAGGAAAATTCTTTTTTGGCCAAAACGAAGAGTTATTATCCCTTTAAGCTCAAATTGTACCAGAATGGTTATTATACACTCATTATATAATTGTCATAAAATACGAACTTATATATATATTCTCAGTGATACGCTAAAACTGCATATTTGCCACTCCGACGTCATCAAAAAGCATTTAAAATAACCATACTTTGACGCCCCTAACCCATTGTTACGTAATAATGTGACCAGCAATACATGAGGCTTTGCCTCGGTCATTATCACTTTTTGGAGGTCAAGAAAGCAACATATTGATTTTGGCCACAGCCAATTATAAGACATAGTATGTGTTAACATACCCCAGCAGGGCGGATCATGGTAGGATTTAATGAAACGTTCACACCATTGACGGAATGGAGGGTAGCCTTGAGAGCTGCTGTATTGCTGGACCTCCTGTAATAAAATACAGTATATGTTAAATGTGAGTCCCCCCTCTCTCTCTCTTTCTCTCTCTCTCTCTCTCTCTCTCCCTCTCTCTCTCTCTCTCTCAGTCTGAAGTCTTATTTCCCGAAAGCTGAACACGGTGAGGTATTGGTACTGCAAGGTACTGGAAAGATGGCAAGAAGGCGTATTTAATTAAGATAAGTGTTTGCAAATACTGACACTATTTAAGAGAACAGTGTTAACAAAGTAACTGGATTGGACAGGCGGAGAGAGAGAAAGAGAGAGAGAGAGAGAGAGAGAGAGAAAGGCCGACCTACCGTCATTGTATTTTCGTCCAAGTAAACCTCCTCGCCATCTTTCAGTTTAAATGTTCCAGACAGGATGGGAAACAAGGAGGGGTTGGGCAGGCCTCCAGCTAGTGACAGCATATCAGGATTATCTTGAACTTTCTCTAGAAGACCCCTCAAATAGGGTCCTTTCTGTCGGCGCACCCCTATGCCGTTCAGGAATCTTCTGTAGTCCATGTTTGTTCTTCTTCAAGTCAGCCCTTCTAACTGTAGACTTATAGCAAGTCACGAGATACGGGTAATAATGCTATGTACGTCTGCGTTGAACTTTTAAATATTCATTTGCACTTAAAACACAGCTCTCTAGACCTTTTAAACAATAACAAAGACCATTTGCACATGTTTTAACTACAAATACAGCATACCTCATGCGTCAGCACGTTGCTGAGTACAACAGCGTTCTACCCCAACGCGCTGTGTAATCAGGTGGACTTTTGGACATATAACTTGGTTGACCTTTCAAGAAATTCACAATTGCTTTATTCACCTGAGATAAATCTAAGCTTTAAGTTGCTCCTTTCATTATGCGGTCATGTCTTTTAGTGAAACACTCAAACATAACGACATTCGCAGCAAGGACTGACCCACTGACTAACAAATTAATGGTGGTAGAAGTGTAATGGTTGTAGCCGGTATAGTACTGTGCCAGTAAAATCGACGAAGAGGTCGGGCTTATTCCGGAAACATTAACAGTTAATTTTCGGCGTAAGTCAAATCGCTCCGTATATACCATTATAATGATTTGTTGCACGAAAAATTTCCGTTTTAAACGTTCATTCTCCTTAACTTAACAGTGTGCACGAAATGTTTCTTTTTTTTTATTTTATTTTTTTTTTTACAACATTCGTGCAATGCCTGTCACGTTTACTTTGTCAATTTAATGCGACGGGTCACACGTGGTGACTTAGATAAACTATTTCAAAATTCTGCCTATAGAAGAGTCATCATAGACCGCTGTATGGATCCTGTATATTTGAATTAAATAAGTAAGAGTTAAACAATAACAACTTGTGCATTTTCCTAAGAAGAGAAAGAGTAATGTCCTCAAAAGGAATACAAACCGAGAAAAAGTGCCAACATAGTTGTTGAGATGATGAAGACAAGGACCAGGAATATAGAACATGTAGCTACAGCGAGTACAAGTTCACCTAATGGCACACAGCATGGGTTTAAAAATCCCACAAAAACATAATTTTGCAATCCACATATAACCTTAAGTATTTTGGAGCGTAACTTATGTCGATATTTCATCGGAGTTAAGGAAGATGTCCGCTGGTTATAATGACCGACCAGTCCTAAATCAACCTTTATACGTTCAATTAAATGTCGAATCCAAGTGAAGAGAGTTTTTTTTTTAAA